GGGTCAAGTATTTTTCAGTTTTGTTTAAGGCAAGAAATATTTGAATTTAAAAGCACTTTATTTTATTTTTTTAAACAAACACGTTTCCAGTCCTAAGGAAGTTTCTAGTTTCCATCCTTTTGATCATGAGTCTGACAGAACCCCCTCTAGAGAATCAAGCAGGACCTTAGGAAGGAAGGATGGTTCAGGTGAACCGGTGGCAGGGCTGTGAATCACAATCTCATCTCTCCCAAAATAAAAGCATATTAATGGGTTGAGTCTAATGTGCTAACCAAAACATTGTTTTAAACTGAAAATGGTCAGAGTCCATTGTATTCCATGTAAAGACCGCAGGTGGGATCATTGTTTTAGATTTCTACAAAAGCTTCCATTCCACATCCCTTTGAAAGAGGAAAATAACAGGGTTAAAATGTTCCAAATTTAACTTGTTTAGAAAAACTGATGCTAAAGAAGAACAATATTTGAATTACTGTATTTATCATTTATTGCCTCTGACTAACTGCTTAATTTCAGTGTATGAAACATTACATTTTTAAACATTTTCTTATACTTTAAGGACCACATTTATTTTCTATACATTAAGACCCTTTTTTCTCAAACTCCATCTTTGTACTCTTCAGATGAATAGACACTGTGGCATACTTCAGTGTTTCTTCTCGTGCTTTCACATAAATAACAGTAGTTCAGTTTTCTAATGAAGTTTTTCTAGACTTGACACGGAGTGCTTCATAATGGGCACATTTCACTTACTTTATTAGAAAATTAATGTCTTTGGAGTAGGGAGTATGACAGCTGTCTTCAATGTACAGACATTGTGTGCCAAACAGTTTATATCCACAAAGGGATGGAATGCCACTAACATTGGATTTTTAAAAGTGCTTGAGAAACCATCGTGATACAGGCACAGTAAGTCGGGGCTCTGAGGCGCTGGGCTTTCCTCAGCTGTAATTGTTACCACAGTGATTTTCATCTGAGGGGCACAAAGTGGAAGAGGGTGCACCAGTCATCCGAGGTGAGTGGACGAGTGTCACTCCCCGGCCCGTGTTAACACCCCGGCGTGTACGTACCTTGCGTGGGGCGACATTCTCCTGGCACGTGTTAACACCCCAGCGTGTACGTACCTTGCGTGGGGCGACCCCGACGGCCCTTCTCTGTGCTGCTCAGTGACTGGGTCAAACGTGACCTCTGGGTAATTTGCAAACAAGTTGAGGTTCAGAATTTGGAAAAATGACTGAGAAGCAAACCTACTACCCTGCCTGATTTCTGTACCTTGGACTGGCACCGAGCAGGTACTTGGAGGGGACAAGTGGCCTCTGTCACACCCAGCCTCACTCCCAGTGGCTCCCATAGGCTCCACTACAGCACCGTCTCTGCGCGTCCTGCAGGGAAGGTCTCAGCTTCCCAGTAGTCACTGTCAAACTGGAGCAAAGTCGGCCAGTTGTGTATCTCGCCTCCTCGTTTCTTTGTAAGATGATGGGGTCTGTGGCTCACTATGGGTTTGACTGAGCACCGTTAGTACTGTTGGCTATTTTGGCCTCTCACTGAATTTGCACAACATAAAGCACTTCTTAACGTTTAAAAAACCAAGACTCCATGGCCAAGTGCGTGACTCACTAGGAAACCCTGCTACACAAGGCTTTTGATGCAGTCTTAGCAAAGCTACAGCAATCTCTTGAATTCAGAGATTCCTGTGAACTCAGGTCATTGTCATGCCCTGTTCATTTTGTAGGTCTCCTTCAGGTCTTAGGAAAATCACAGGCACATTAAGTGACCATGTCGGGGGAACATGTACTTGAGCACACGTTGCCATCAGTAGTTTGACACTCAGATACATACGGACTTGAAGGGATTCATTCCTGACTACTAGATTGTGAAGAGCCCTTTTTACCTGAGAAGAATGGAATTCATGTCAAAGTTTTTAATTTGCTATCATTGAGTAAAAAGAAAAATGTGTTCCCATATGCATTGGAATATGCTTCCTTTTTTTTTTTTCAAATATTGAGAAAACAGAGTCAAACTTAACCAGTTTGAGTTTATTTCTATTCTTAGAAGAAACAATATTCAAAACCCCTTTTCAAAATAAGCTGGTCTGGACCTCTGGACAGGTGTTTTGGTTTCGATTCATTATGTCCTCAGTAGAGGTGGAGATTTTGGTTTCCCTGATCTGTCTCTGCATGTTATCATGGGATGTACTTGTAAATACTCCTTCATGTACAGAGTATGTGTAATTCTGGCTTGATTTAGAAGCTAAGTCAGTTACTGAGTAACATTTTGCAACTTTATTCCAGCAAGTACTAAATCAGCCAAAAGTTTTGTTTTTGATACCATTAAAATTTTATTCTCTATTTTGTGTACATACTAGTATGATTCTCCTGACTACTTACTAGATCATTCAACTTTAATCCAGTTAAGTTCCCGAGAGTTACTGAAAATTAGAATTTCTTGGATCAAATTTTGTTTCATTTTTACCTTAAAACTAGCCTCCCTAAGCCCTTTTGTTCATAACTATTCCGCAGTAGTTTTGCTTATAGTATAATCCATTGGTCCTGTATTTTAAAGCATACACTGTTCTCTAATTTTTTTTTAGCATGTGAAACAAGCTTTAGTTTTATAACTTGGTATTAAACAGCATCTGTTTGCTTTCTTAACTGCTCACACTGAGCGAGCTTTGCACTGAATACCCACTGAAGACTCAGCAAGGCTGTGGACACCCTGCTCAGTCTCTCTTCCCTCTGCTTGCTCCCTGGGAGCTGAAGTGTCCCAGGGTACGAGGCATTGAACACACCACATCCCAGCTTCGCAGCGCCCAAAGAGAAGTGGTCGGCACACTAA